GAGTGAACTTTGACAACCTATTCAACATCTTTATTTTTTTCAAGGAAGATGCTACGTGTACACAATGGTGTACACACGGTTTTACCCTCACATGGAGGGGGGTTCACACACAATAAAATATTCGTGGGTTCCCCTCCATGTGAGGAGGGTGTAAAGCTGTGTGTATACCATGAGATGTATACATAGCATTTTTCTTTTTTCAAAGGGCTCAATCTGACCTAGTTTACATGATTACCATCTTAATTAATGTTAGGTGGCAATTATAATTCGATTGGTTTGACAAATGAAAGATATGGTGAGATATTTGCGTGTATAAAGCTACTCTTTGTTTGCAAACATGTTTAGAAATATACTTTAAAGGTGAATGATTATTTTGAAAAATCACCAGAATTTTCTAAGACATTTTCATGATTAGAGCCACGAACATCCATTATTCAACGCAATACAGGCAGGTTCAACAATTCTATTAGCCATTTAATTAGTCAACACAGATATTCTAAGTGGTATCCATGAGGCATATATATTAGGTGTATGGGAAAAAGAGGCCTTAAACTATTTATAAAATCTATTATTTTAATATTACATAAAAATATGGGAAAATTACAAAAAACAAGGTGTTTAAAGATTGATTTTCAAAAATCAGGTGGAAAATTTAATTATTCAAAAATCAGGTAATAATTTTATATACACACCCTTACACCATCTAACCCATCCAAACCTTAAAATCAATTTTTCTCCCTCAATTCTCTCATCTCCTCTCCCGTCTCTCTAATCAAATCGCCGCCGCCATCCTGGCTGCCGACGTTTCTTCCCCTCCTCTCTCTCTCTCTCTCTCCATCTGTCATTTTCATCATCTCCTAGCAACGCCACTGAGACTGAGAGTCGCCGCTCGCAGTGGCGTCGCTGCAATTCACCCCTCGTGGGAGCGGCTGCATACGGCAAGAAAAATTAGTTCAAACTCCGACAACCGGCGACGCTGCTGAGAACGAAAGCTGTTGAAAACGGCGATGCTGCTGCAGTCCTTCGTCTTCCCGTTTTTGTTTTGTTTTGTTTTTTTTTTCTGTTGTGGGTAGGAGGATGACTGGATGGTGGTGATGTGGTGGTGGTGGTGGAGGCGTCGTTGGCGTTGATGATGGTGAATC